TAGTACAATAAATAGAATTGTAGATAAAAACATCTTCTATTAATGTCGCGAAAAACCGTTTGAGTTTATAAATACTTCGAAACAGATGAAATTACGAACACCTTAAAAGGTAAGGAAGGTATTTCGAATGAGATAGGTATTGTGAATGATTAAATGAAGAAATTACTTTTGCATTCTTTATGGCTTTCGTTTTGAATAAAGGATAAATCTTATTCAGGCTTATTATTGTTAACCTGTTGATTCGAAAAAGGGAAAATTTTATAATGTCCTTAACGCATATTATTAAGTTAGGACTTTAAATTTAGATTGATATAACAACTTTATAAATAAATTTTAAAGTTTAGGAAGGATTTTATTAGTGCTTTTTGAAAGTCAATGTATGGTACTTGTAAAGAAGTGCGCATTAAAATGACAAATGTAACAATCGTTTGTTCGGAGTGACATTCTAAAATGAAATTACAAATTTCAATAACGAAAAACCGCCGTTACTGTCGCATCAAATTTAAAAAAAAAAGAAAAACCATGAAAAGATTCTTAAAAACCATTAAGACATTCTTCAAAAAAAAAAAAAAGGTAGCGGGGCAACAAAAGCTGTCGTAGAATGACCTTTGGTTTTCAGTGTACTTCTTCCAAATTCGTTCACCAAAATACCAAATGTGCATTGTTATTTGCATCTCTTTGCTTGTCGCCAAACAGTTTTAAACTTCTAATCTGATCAGGCTCTCTAATTCAGGGTCTGATCAGGTCAGAATGCAACCTACTTTTCAATCATTTTACGGTGGAAATTTTTTACTGAAACGAAAGCCGTAAAGAATGCAAAAGTAATTTCTTCATTTAATCATTCACAATACCTATCTCATTCGAAATACCTTCCTTACCTTTTAAGGTGTTCGTAATTTCATCTGTTTCGAAGTATTTATAAACTCAGACGATTTTTCGCGACATTAATAGAAGATGTTTTTATTTACAATTCTATTTATTATACTACCACTGCTGCTGTATG